ATTTTTCACCGGTAGGTTCACCCGCTCTTATCTATGGAATTTTAGGGTAGTAGAATTAGGGTTGGGCGAGAATGTGACGACAGACGTTCACGGAAGGGGTATTTGAACGAGCTATTCGAATGTGTGGGCCATTGCATACAGGTGGCTGCACCAGCTGCCTGCGTTCAAGCTGGGGATCCTGGTGCAATCAGTACAACCTTTACAGCTTTTTCGACATTCAAGAGCTGCCCGCCTTGGGTGTGTAGGTTTCTGGAGGGGGGGGGTCCTTATTACGTCCTATCTTAACCCTTTTCCGACTCGGAAGCGTTCATCAGGCCATCATTGAGCATCACAGGCTCAACTAGGTAGAAAGCTTAGAAACCATATTTGACTTGAACTGTACCTTCGATTCCCGTTTAAGTACGTCCCACTCTCCTCCCATCTCAAACGCGGGGTGAAGCGCTGTTCTATATTTTGCAGCAGTTTCTCAACAGAGCACGCCCTCTGAATGAGTTGAGTGTGTTACAAAAAGACGGAAAGATTACACATCTGAGCAGTCCCTCCCGTCGGCCGCCTACAGTGGAAGCATTCCGCTTGCGATATCGATTCAAAGGCTTTGTCGAATCGATAGCTCGATCATAATGGTCGTTTTGAAAGTCTTTCTTCTGTTTCAGGTTGGTCGTCGGTGCTCCTGAATCGGATACAACAAATCCCAACCTACGAGGGATTCGTAGGCCGGGTGCCGTCTACGTCTGCTCAGTGAACAAGCCTACTTGTCGTGAAGTGCACGTTGATAAGAAACGTACGTTCTTACAAAATAACAACTCAGCACGGCCTACTCGGCTTTCAATAACTTTACTTCTTCTGAGTGGATCCATTTGCTCATCCCATTCTATTGACAGCGAGACAGAGAGACGGTCGTGTCCTTGGTAGCTCAAATAAACCCGAAATTGCTGATTAAGACTTAACGATGCTTCGCTCCATTCGGCTGGTCTCTAAGAAACTCATTTGTTATGGCTCGGAACCATGATGCGTCCAGAGAGGGTGGGAGGTCCCTCAGTCATAATGTTGAGGGAGGTCTCTTCCACGGGATTTTCTAAGTGCTACTGAGAGATGCCGGGTGGGTGAAGTTTCACAGGACTAGACTTCCAGATAGCTCCCTCTTGATGCCATCGCATGTCAATCTGAGAACTAGTCTAGGCTGAATTCAGTGCTGGGAACGAGAGGCTGAGAGCCCGCTCGTGCGCATGGAATCCCAAATGCCATTTTGATGAGGCTGATTATCTTAAACTCATCCTTAACAGTGAACGTTTATTGAAACGGCCCAGCGTTTCGGGATCTGACCGTTGTCCCCGGGTGGTTGAGGTTTCACACACCATTCACGGGTATAGCGGTTTCACGCACGGGAGAAACCGCTATACCCATTCTCGCGTTATAGCCTAGAAACACTCAAGACGTATGTCCTACCAATCGACCTCGAAAGGCAATGAAAACATACACTCTTTTCGTGATTCTTAATATATTCGGGCGACCCGAATAAAGTCCACTGCTGGCTGTCTACCGCCATGAACACTTTATCGCTCCCGATGTGGTTGTAAAATCGTCATTATGCGGGTTGGCCCCACACAATCGAATGCGAGCGATATCGGCCTCAGAAGAAATGGCTTCCGCGAAATCTCATGAGCACCCAGCAGTAAGCATGCATGATTTGTTACGAGCTCAACGGCAATTATACCCCCTGGAACGCTCAATACTCAAAAGTCGATATAATCATCTAATCAAGGTAATTATAGCATCTTTTGATTTACTGTGGGATCCCCAGACGGAGGCCGC